ACTGGACGATGAAGGGCCACAGGAGGAAGAAGAGCAGCGTGGGAGCAGAGAGCCCGGTGCTGGGCCTTGGCCTCTGCCGCCAAGAGCAGAGAGTCAGGAGCCAGCCCGGGCCTCAGCACAGGCTGGGCCCTCCTTCGCAACCTGCTTGCAGAGCTCAGGTGGGAGCTCCTGCCTCCCTCTCCACAGTCTGAGGACTGGGGCTCCCAGTTTGTCCCTGACATGTTGAGCCCTAACTCTCTCCCACATCTTCCTCCAAGGTGCCGAGAAGGCAGAAGGCTGAAGGCTGAAGGCTGGAGAGGCTGCTGAGTGGAGAGACTGGCTTCGAGGCCATCTCCTCTGGGCCACAAAGCAGTGACCCTGTTGGTGTGGCCCGAAGACCCCATATTGTAAAAGACATGCCACATATCTCAAATGAGGACCCTGGGTGCTCAGATTTTAGTTTCTAAATACCATTCTCTGCTGAATGGAGAAGTGGCAGATTTTAGGTCTGGAGCAGGGAAGGTAGAATTGAATGTGAGACGTCTTGTACCGGGAAGCAAGGAAGCTTTTAAAGATTAATGAGGTCAAATTACCAGAACATAGGACTCAGCTTGAAAGGGTCCCACCAAAGTTGTGACAGCCTGGGCATCAAAAAGAATGATGACTGCAGTTGACTGAACTACTGAGTCTTTAAAATCCGTGAGTTCATGATGATACTCAAAGAGAAAGGGGAAATTTATCACCATTGAGGTGGCTGTTAAATTAACTCCTTACTCTAAAAACAGATAATTAAAGAGAAAGAATTGAGCACTTATTCTGCCTTCCATAAGGTGCTGTATTTCAGGGAAATCCTAGATGATCAGGGAAACTCTACAGAAAAATGACAGCTAATAAGTGTTGAAGGAATAATAGAATTTAAAAGTCAGCATTGTTTTTTGTAACCAGTAAATAAATTATTGATCCAGGCAAGGAGTATCTATCAATTGTCAAAAGCTGTGTGTCAAATGGGCTTGATGGGGAACTGGACATTCCCTGGCTGCAAGTCGTGGGAACAGACTGTCACCCCTTCATCCCTGCTAGTGGTCCACGCTAGAATCATTCACGGTAGGACATCCAAGTATGTGTCCCTTGATGTAAAGAAAGAACATCAGCTCTGATGTAATCTGGTCATGTAAACGAGCCAGGAGGCTGTCATCAGACAGACCACAAGAGTGGAACATTCTACAGGACCACTATCCAGTCTCATCCGCAAGTCAGTAGCAAGGAAGAGGGACTAGTCTAGACTTAACAGAGTCTTAAGAACAGAGGCTCCCGGCCTGGACAGACAGGGAAGGTGGAAAAGGGGATTTGAATGTGGATTGTGTATTTTACGATATGAAGGAATTACTGTGTGTGATAAAATTTTGTTTTTGCTAGGTAGTAGGATGTCCTGTTTTTAGAGATGCAAACCCAAGTATCTCAGAGTGGAAACCTTTAAAATCTTCAGCATATAAAATTAGGAAAAGGTAAACAATAAATAAAACCCTGGGGGGTGAGTGTTGAAAGGTTAGCCGCTGTGGATCTGAGGGAATTCCTGCCAACCTGGCTGACACCCACTGTGCCAAGGGGGTGAAGGGTCATGTGAGTGATTCCCCCACATCCAGGAACTCAGCCATCCCCTGCCCCCACCACTCCAGGCTTCACAAGAACAGACTCACTCATAGTGAGTGGTGGATGCCAGCTTTGGTGGGAGACAGACCTAGGGCCACTCCCAGCTCCATTACTTAACGTTAATACTAATACTAACAATGAACCCCATTTGAGAAGTCCTCCCCGGGCACTGCGGAAGCACCTACATGCATTATCTCATCTAATCCTCAAAGCAGCTCTCAGTCTGTGTACCCTCAGGTAAGTTACTCAACATCTCAGAGCTGTAGTTTCCTCATCAGTAAAAGGGAAATGAAAAGAAAACCTATTTCACTGGTTTGTTTTGAGGATAAAATGAGATAATGCAGGTAATGTGTTTGGCACACAGCTGGGGTTCCAGAAATGGCTGCTGTTATTTATTTTGCAGAAGCAGAGGTGTAAAGGGCAAGCAGATCTAGAAGTTGAGAGGAGGGAGTGAGGGATGCAAGGGCTGAATTTGGGGAGGGCGAGACAATAAATCTGGGAACAGAAGTCCTGACTGAGGGGCAATAGGGACACCCCACCCCCCAGCCCCAATGCAAAGAGCAGACATATTCTGGCCCCTCTAACTGCTGGAATTCCATCTGTCCTCAGTTACTCTTCAGGCAGAGGGAGATAAGAGCAGGAAAGGAGGGCCTCTCCCACTTCCAGGCTGGAAGCACTACTACAGACCCCCTGACTTCCTTGCCTGCGCCACGAGCCACAACATTCTCTGGAGAAGGCAGAGGTGTGAGCAGGCAGAGTCGTGGGGACAAAGACAGAAGTGGCTGGATGAGGAGTCCAGAAAAGAGACCCTCAAAGTTCTGCCCCAGCCTTGCCCTGGGCCTTCGGACGGGGCTCACCTGCTTGCGGGGGACGGGCATGCTCTCCAGGCTCTGCAGTCTCCCCTGGACGTCCCGCATGCTCTCCTGCAGCGCCCGAACCGTCCCCACCAGCCATGTGTCCAATTCTTGGGGCCCCAGCAGGGTGCTTTCCAATCTCCCTGCAGTGCACAGACACACAGGGAAGGGGACTCAGGAGGCAGCTCAGCTAGGGGCAGGGTGGTGGCAGGCTGGGGCAGGTCCAGGGAAGAATAAGAGTAGAGTGCGATCCCTTGTACCAAGTGTGAGTCTTGTAAAGCCCATCCATGTGGCTGAGTAATGGGCTGCCAGGGGTTTGAATCCCAGCAGGACTACCACTTAGCTGTGTGACTTTGGGCAAGTCGGTAACTTCTCTAAGCCTCGTTGGTCAACTGAAAATTATGTCATCTCCCTCACAGGGCTGCTCGCTCTGAGGAATAAAGGAGATAATATTTATGAAAGTGCCCCTTATGGGACGTGGCACACTGGAAGTTCTAGAAAGGGATAGGGCAGAACTCGTTGTCCTAAGAGAGTCCCAAATGGGAGACCCAGAGAGAGAGGATGACTCCCAAGACCATGTAGGTGTAGGTGAGAGAGCTGGTCTAGGAATTCTACCCCAGCTGCCCTTCCTCAGTGCCAGCCAAGAGTACAGACTCCCGGTGGCCCTCGGAGAGGAGGCCAGGCAGTGACTTTGCCCATCCAGGCCAGTGTCTGGCTTTAACCCTTCCTGGGCAGAGGCTAGGCACTCTCTCCAGTGCCTAGCGTTGGATTTCACCTCTCCCCGTGAGGGCAGCCAGGGGAAGGCCCAGGGTACCAGAACCACGGGAACGGCCGAAGGGGGTGAAGGGTCAGTCACGGGCTCACCTTTCTCTGCAGGAGACTCGGTGCTGTTTCTGGTGTTGAGCTCTCCTCTCAGGGCGCCCCTCTGCTCTGCCCCAACCTGCTGAGAAGAGTCACAAAGTCCAAGGGGGGTGGTGGGAGCAGCTAGGGCCCAGTGGGGTAGGGAAGGGGAGGCAATGGGAGTGGGTCTCACCAGCTCAGGCTCCAGCTGCTCCATGGAATCACAGAAAACCTCAGAGTCCTGGTCCCTGGGTGGCTGGGACTCTGAGAAGGGGATGAGTAGGGTTAGTGACAAGAGGGAGGCCACGGACGGAGGCGAGGGGGGTGCATCTAGGCAGAGGCATCTGTTCAGGGCACACTAGTGATACTGCCACAAGAGGCACAGATGGCTCCCTGAGTGGGGCCCGGGAACAGGAATCCCAGAACCTGCCCCTGGCCTCTGGGAGCACAGGAGGTCTCAGTGTCTGGGCACGAGGCGTGACAGGCACAGCGTGGCACCTAGCCTGCTCCCCTCCACCCTGCCTGGAGGTCCCCCCCACCTCCGGCCTGGGTTTGGCCCTCTTCCCTTTCTGCCCAGGCACTGACCTGGGCTTGGGGGTGCGGGTTCCTTGGGAAGGCAGGGAGGCTCTGGGGCAGGCTCAGCATCTCCATTCAGCACCTGCTCTTTCCAACCTGCGGAGACACAACACCCAGAGGTGGGGCTGGGAAGACATCAGGCCCCTGCTCCCCAATTAGCCATGGACTCTGCCTGAGACCCACCCCATCAGGGGCACTGGTTGTGGTTCTTACAGGGACATCACCTAGAGCCCTCTGCCCCCAGGCTCCCCTCCAACTGAGCAGCCCCCCGAGACAGTTCAGTCAGCACTCGTGAAGCTCCCAGCCTGGGGGCCTGACCTGTGACCCTTTTCAGGAAGGTCTCCGGGGGCCTCGGCATGTCAGGGATCACCTGGTACAGGGGCTCGAAGTAACCAAACATGTCCTCTGCCACTTCGCCCAGGGGCACTGTGTCGATCACCTGTGCAGGAGGGGGTCTAATGGGGAAGGGCTGGCCCCTCCCACCACTGCCCCCTTGAGCTGGGCCACCTCCACCCTGCTTCTGCCCTATCATACGTCTCCCCCTTGTGCCCAGTCAGGAACCAGAGACAGGCAGGGGTGGGGGAACAGCATGAAGGTGGTTAATTCCCGTAGGGGTATCAACGTGCAGGAAACATAATGGGGGTCAGACTGGAAGGGTGGGGGGCAGGCCACCTGGCTGAGAGCTTGCTTGGTCACAGAGAGGAGTTTGCAGCCTCTCCCTACCCTCTGGGCCACCAGCTTCATCTCAGTGATGTAGGCAGACATGGCCTGCTCCCTGCTCATCTTGCCCAGGCTGTTCCAGGCATCCCTGGGGGACAGAGGGCTGTGAAATGCTGGTTGACAGCTGAGGCTTGTTTGCCCAGCCGATGGGGAGCTCACCATTTATAACGTCCAATAGGGTCCCAGAACCCAGGCTGGGGGACCAGGCAGGGCCCCATGGTAGCCTGCTTGTAGTAGCTGTAGAATCGCAGCATCTCTTTATAGGAGGGGCGGTAAGAGCCTGGGCAGGGGTTGGGAAGTGGGGGAGAGAGCATCACTCCCAGCTCAAAGAGGATGGAGGTGGGGGGAGAACCACCCTTGGGGAGGGCAGAGATGGCAAGGGGTCCCACCAGGGCAGCTGGACAGGGGCAGGTAGCAGAGGGGACCCCCCAGGACAACTCAGGCAGGGACTTGTCTGTAAAAACTGCCAGGATCAAAGCCTCCTGGGAGGCGGACCCCAGTCGTCTTGACCCCCAAATGCGGGTCCCCATGCCCTCACCGTTCTTAGGCAGGTTCTGAATGACGCTTACTGCGGCCTGGAACTGTTTCTGGCAGTCTGGCTCTGGATTTTCACTTTCGATACCCATACCCAGCTGCTCTGAGCCTTGGAGCCCTACTTTTGAGCGACTCTGCAGGAACAAGCCTGTGTGTGAGCAGGC